GCTATTAATCCCTCTTTGTTTCTTTCATAATTTTCTTTACTATAATCACTTTCTTTATCTATGGGATTTACACACACACACACACATTGAAGAGTGCATGTTAATTCTCCATAACTTTTTATTGGTAGGTTCTAATGATTAATCCTTTGTTACTAGTCGAAAGTTTATTGATTTCATACCAAATTTTGCTACCATAGTTTACATATAATATATATATATATAGATATGGTTTTTTCTTTTTTTCTCATCCATTCCTTTTTAAAATTTTATTTTTAATTTAGCAAGGTGCTTCGGTTTTCCTCTAAACTATTTGTTACAAATCTATTACTATTTTTGTCACAAAAATATAATATTAAATTAAAATAATTTTTGTGGCAAATTATTCTGTCACAATAATCTATAACTATACTTAAATTGGTCACATGTTATTTATTCGGGTTGCCCAAATTAAATTTCTATCACAATTTCATTACTAAACAAGGAATCCTAATATTGTAATGGTTTCCGTCACAAAATTGTCACTAATTTTGGCACCAAGAAAAAATTTTTCCTCCTAAATTAATTGTAATGGATTTAGTGACAGATTTAAAACGCTGTCACAATTCTGTCATACATTTGTCACTAAATTTGTCACAAAATCTTAGAAACAAGTTACCATTTATTTTGTCACAAAACAGTCACAATTCTATTATGATAATAAATAGTGACAGAAAATTTTTCTGTTACAGTTGCCAAGATTTCTAGTAGTGAGAGATAAATTATGTAATTTTAAACATTTGATTTTAGTATAAGGCTTTCTTTATCTTTATGTTTGTAATTATTATTACTATGAACTAATAGCATAAAGTTAGTCCGAGCCTTAACTTTAATTTCTTTCAGACACTCAGATAAGCTTTGTTGGGTGTGATTGCTGAAGCGGACAAATTGATTATGCACTAATTTTGTTTAAGAGCCTCTTACGGACTGGATAGTAGTTGAGGGTATAATGTGGGTTTGGATTGGGTCATTTTTCAAGCTTAAGTCTCCTTAAGCTCGGGCCTTAGGGGTTTGAGAGTTATTTTATTTTGTTATTTATTTCTTATGTAATCATAAAGTCCAAGGCCAATTTGGGTCTTGCCATTTAGCAATAAAAATTACATAATTTTTTTTAAAAAAACAAACAAACTAATAACATATGGAATAAAATATGCTTTGGAAAGGGAATTACAAAATTTTATAATTATGAGACCCCTATTACATCAAAATGTTATTTCTAAAATGTTTCTAGTCAATGCTTTATCAGTATTGGACATTAACAATGCTGAGAGACTATCATAAGGTTATGTTTCTCACTTATAAATTGACCAATTCATCTTATCGATTAAAGTACGGTGATACTTGAACTAACATGTGGGTGTTTGTTACATGAACAAGTTCACTAAATATGACCCATCGAGAGCATTTCATTTGGTATTTCACTCAATTGTCTATAAAATAAATTTATGAAGACAAAACATTGATATAAGTTGAGAGATTAGCATATATTATGTTTCTTATTTGTGAAATAAGCAATCGATTTTATAGAATGAAGCATTAGGATACTTGACAATACCATATGGATGCTTATTACAAAAAAAAGTTCATTGAACATAACCTACAATGAGAATTTCATTAGATATCTTACTCAAGTGTCTATGACAATATTCTCCTGTGTCAACCATGTATGCAATCCTTACGCTTGAGATCATTAAGTTATCTTATATGGGAATTACTATACTTTGATATTACCTTAGGTAATCTTAGCTAAGGATGCACAATGGGATGTGCATTGGGAATATCATGAACCACATGAAGATAAATGAATGATAGATAAAGGATATATCACCCTAAGTTATTTAAGGGAGATATCCCATTGATTTGTGGCATGATTTAGCTCAATCAAATCTTTGGTCAAATTGAATGAAGATTACAAAATGAGTTTTATAATTTCATTAACAAGTTAAGAAGATTTCAAGATCTAAAAAGGTAAAGACAAGCATAAAGTAGACACTGGAATTGCAATTACCCTCCCTTGGTATTAAGTATTCCACACCCACTGGAATATAGTCTAAATTTTTTTTGATAAAAATACCCTTACTCACTTTTAAAAATGACTAACTTTACATTATAAAAGGTTTTTTTTCCCTTTCATTTTTCCTTCGTTTCTTTCTTTCTCTTCTTGATCCACCTCCCATCTTTTCTATTTTTAAGCAAGTTTGCAGCCATTCTCCTCCATAGTTAATGCCGTCTTCTACCGTTGGCACCGCTAAGTTCTCTATTGTCAACCATCGAAGAAACCACTAGCAATGTTGGAACGCCGATCTAGTGTTGGTCACAACCAGATCTAGCTATTGGAGTGTTGACTTGGTTATGGGAAGTGATAAGTTGTGCATTGGCCAGTTAGGTTCAAAACCTGGATTTGGTCGTGACCAATGCCAGATTAGCACTCCAACATTGTCAACGGTTTTTCCTATGATCGGTGATAGATATGAGAAAAGGAAAGCAAAGAAGATGATGAGGAAAAAATTGAAAATAAAATTTGTTTAAAGAAAACAGAAATTAAAAAAATAAAAAATGCAAATATAAAAAAAGAAGAAATTAAAACAAAAAATCATATTAATATTTTAATAACAAATTAAAAATTATTAATATTTTAAATTTTTAATGAAAATAAAAATTAAAAGATTAAAAAAGGAAAAATATTATTAAATTATAATAAAGGGTACTTTTATCTTTTGGTATAAATTTTACTAAATTATAATAAAGGGTATTTTTTTTCTGAAAATAAATTCTATTATAATAAAAGATAATTTTGTCATTTTATCATTTATTTTTATTTCAAAGCTATTCTTATCAATAAAAAATTAGAATGAGTTATAATTGTAATCCCCACCTAATTCCATTCTTTTAACTAAACTACATAATAATTATTTTATTATATTTCTGTTTTATTTTATTCCCATCTAATTGGTACTCTATTTTTCTTCTATTCTATTTTGTGAATCAAATGTGTTATTTTTATTTTTTTTAATTTTCCTTGGGAAGTGCGAAACCTTGAATGCCTTCACCTAATTAGCACTAGGTTTAGTAGCAAAAGCAAAATTATAATTAGGTGATGTTTACTACTTTACAATGTAATATGATTATAGATAATGTGATTGCAAGCAGTGTGATTGTAGAAAAAATAACATTATAATGTTTAGTATACAAGGAAATAAAATGATTAAAATGCAAAGAAGATAACATTGCGGCATTTAGTTTATAAATACTTTGTTGAGAATGTAATGTTAATTTTTAAAATTATCCATATTTATTAAAATGTAAAATTAATATACTTGTATTTTTTATTATTAATTTTTATATAATATCATCTCTTAAATATATTTTATTTACATTTCTTATTATAATCTTATATATTTTATTTTCATTTCTTTTATATAATTTTTTATATTATATATTTTATTTTAATTTCTTTTACTTATATTATATAAACTTTAATTTCTTATATTTTATTTTAGTTTAATTTTTGATTCTTATATTATATATTTTATTTTAATTATAACAGTACAAAATATTTTTAGTAAAGTAATAAAGTTGAAGGGTAAAAATATCTTTAAGAACATTGTAGAGTGTAATGTAATGTGATTGCATTGATTTAGAACTGTAATCATATTACATCATTTTTAGTAATCTGTTACAAAATAAACACGATAATGTAATTTAATTAGATAGATTGTAGAGAATGTGCTTTTTCTTTTTTTATATCAAATGCTACCTTAGTATTATTCTACTTGAATATCACCGTTAGAGTTTAAACACTTGTATAATTTAAAATTTGCAACAACCTAAACTCTTATGGACTCAAGATAATAATATCCTTGATGAACAAGCCTACTGATTTCGACATCAAATATTATAAATTATAAAATCTTTCTACCAACTAGGTAGGATTTATCTATAGTCAACATTAATGGTTCATCTATTTAAGAAAAATTATTAAATTTTCACTGCACATGTAGAATGATTTGTATCACTTTTCCCAAACAGTTAATTCCTCTTTATTGAAGAAAAATAAGATTTTTTTTCTTTTTCCATTAAAATTTAAAGTGCAAAATTTGGTGCTTAAACAAACAAACTCAAAGCAACCCCTTAATTTATTAATTTAACCCCAATGATTGAGCAAGAAAAAAACAAAGGTAATAAAATGGGAATTTAGCAGGGAAACGCCGCTAACGGCTAGTTAGGGAGGAGACCTCCCAACGGTCACCAACAGAGGGGTGGGCCACTTCAAAAATTAATTAATAATTTTGTTTTAATAGTAAAATGCGAAAATTGAGCAAAAGGAGGAAGACTCCTGTCCCACGTTCCGACAAGCCTACTACACGAACGGTCACCTAACACTTCCTTTTTCTAAAATTAATAAAAAGTTGAAAAAACATATAACGCGCCGCCCCAGAAAAATAGGTTGACTAAAATACCCTTCCTTGGTTACATAATTTACAAAGATTGCCCCGTTTTCTGTCCTTTTTTATTTTTTCATTGTCTGATCTTCAATTCACATAAGACCGTCGACCGTGTTACTGTCCGACAGTAGGATCTTATCCACGCGCATTTGAAGCTGTGACGGTTAGCGCTTCATGTCTCCTGATTCCCTAGCCGGGCGCGTGAAAGGCACCCCATCTCAACGGGACGTCTATAGATCCTGTGCATCTCGTGAGCGACACGTCAATCCGAATTTACCCAATTGTTTTTTATTTAATTTTTTTGAATAAATTGAATAATTCACCACTGAAATATACTAATAAAATAATAATAAATAAATAAACGAAAAGCGAGACTCTCCTCAAAATCAGCCAATCAAACGATCATTCCTTCCAAGAGAAAGAGAGATCGCTTTCTCAGTCTCTGTGCAACATCGAGAGAAAGGGAAGCATTAAGGTAATCCCTCGTCTGGGTTTTGCGTTTCTTGCCATCAGAACAATATGGGTCGACTGTCATAATCTTATATGTGATCCCAGATGTTTTTTTTTTCTTTTCTTGGATTAACATTCCTTGGTGTGTTTTTTTCTTCTCTTAAAAGAAAACCAAATAAAATTCTCGATTCCTTTTCTTCTTCGACGATTATGCTTTCTTGGTGAAATGGGAAATGTGAGATGCCTTTCTTGGTTGATTTTGTATGGGTTTTTTCCCTTTTTCTTGGTTTCAATTCAGCCACTAGGATTATACCTGTGTGTGGAGCAGTAATTTGCTTTGCTTGTTGACTTCTGTTACTGGGTCCGAAACGTGTAAGACTATATTAGGTTTGTTCTGTCAAATGCTCTGGGTGAGTGCTCTGATTGGATTGAAAAATCCTTCTTTTAATTTTGTCTCTTTCGGCTATTGTTTCATTTTGATTGTATGGATGTGCGTTTGTTTGAACAAAGTTTCAATGATAGTCGTAGTCTTGAGTTTGTGAGGCTTCCTGCTGATTATGCGCCTACCACAGCATGCTTCAAAATTCAAAATGGATGTGCATTTGGTGTTATTCTTCTATGAGGGTTTTGGGTTCCAAAACATTCATAAGACTTTTCTACGATACATGACTATCTGAAAATTAGACTCATAATTTAAGCCTTTAATCTCAACTCCCACATGTTACTTTACCCTTTACCATGTACAAACTGCATTGTAAGATTACAATTTAACCAACTTAATTGGAGGTGAGTTTCACTTGCCAAAAACCAGTTAACGGAAAGAAGGTCTAAAACAAGTTTGTAGTGGTGTAATCTGGGAAAAGAAATATTATCTTGCTCAAACTAGCATGGCCTTTAGATATTTTTTCAATTTCTGGTAAAATAAATAGATAGACATAAAAATTAGCTTATGAAATCAGATTACATAGATAAGGCATAAAAGATTAATATGTGAATCTTATAGGAACTTTTAGTCTGTGCCGCTTTCTATTTGTTCCAAGACTTTCCGGGTCTTGTGTCTCAATCATATTTATCTGCATTCATGTGTGTGCATTGTGTATTTGAGATTTATACTTTTGATTATCAGGTGAAAATTAGCTGGGTTGACTGTTTATCCAATCTGCTAGTTGTGCCTATTTGTCTGAAAAGGAAAAAACTTTTATTTTGATGTTTCATTTTGAAAACCAGATATTAATCTTGTTCAGTTTCTGGTTATTTCTTTTTTTTTTTTTTTGGCAGTGCTGAATCCTCACTTTTCTTACTGTAAATAAGTGCCAAAGTTGGTGAGCTTTCGGACGTCTGTTGCTGAGGTTCTGAGTCTTTTGTCAAGGATTCTTTCTTCCCTTAGCATGGTAATTTTGCTGCCGTTTACATAATGCCATTTATATCTTTTGATTGTTGTGAAATTAACAAAATTTTGTTAATTTATTAGTTCCTTTTTCTCTTTTAGCTTAGTTAGAGAAGAAAGTTTCAGGTATATAGTTTCAGAATAATAGTGCTTAGGCCGTTTATGCTATGAAAGAAAAGAAAATAGATTTCCTTTAAATATATATTGTATGGCATTTCCATTAACTTGTCATGTGCAATTTTTATTTTGACCATTTAGGAATTGCATTTCTTATATTTTTCTTTTGTGTTGTGTTAGGCAACTAATGAAAATCTTCCACCAAATGTAATAAAGCAACTGGCAAAGGAATTGAAGAGTCTTGATGAATCCCCACCAGAAGGCATTAAAGTTGGAGTAAATGATGATGATTTTTCTATCATATATGCTGACATTGAAGGCCCAGGCACGTAATTCTGTTGAAACAAATTTATTTCCTTCATAGTACACTTGTTACTTTTCCATTCTGAGGATTTGTTGACTTTACAGCTGGGACTCCGTACGAAAATGGTGTTTTCCGTATGAAGTTGTTACTGTCTCATGATTTTCCTCACTCCCCTCCAAAAGGTATGCTTAATCGATTATAGTTATCCAGACATAATCAGATTTCAACATGTCTGTGATATACCAAAATTTAAAACCTAGGTCATGTCAGGCTTCTGAAGAAAAATTTCTGCAATTTCATGGCTTGCTATATCGTGTTTTGTTTTTAAGTCATTCATCCTGTATTTCAATCTCTAAATTTCTGGTGATACCTTATCGCAAAGAAACAGTTTATTTTGTGCATTAGTGGATATTCTGAACATCTATATTGCAGGCTACTTTCTTACGAAGATTTTTCATCCAAATATTGCAACCAATGGTGAAATTTGTGTGAACACGCTAAAAAAGGATTGGAATCCAACTCTCGGGTTACGACATATACTCATTGTAAGTTCCATTATACCTAGACTTCATTCTGTACCCAAATTTTATCCGTTCGTTTGATAAGAACTGCCTCAGGACTGCCTTTTTTTTCTTTTTCTTTCTATCTTTCTTTTTTTTTTTTTAACAAATTAAGCTTTAGATCTTCGGTTTCAAGTTTTTATCTTCCTTGACACCAGATTTTGTGACTGCAGGTAGTTAGGTGTTTACTGATTGAGCCTTTTCCAGAATCTGCTCTCAATGAGCAGGCTGGCAAGATGCTGCTTGAAAATTATGATGAGTATGCTAGGCATGCCAGGTGAGGCGTACCAGACACATTATTTGCTTAATATTTTGCAATGTGGAAACCTAGAGTCTTTAACAAGTCAAAGACTGTTCTGTTTTGTTCTTGGTTAGAAATTATGCTTGTTTTATGGGGTCTCCAGTACATTTTTACTGTTACATCCAGGCACCATTGGTTTCTTAGTTGCTCTTAATTTCATTAAAGTTTTGCTTTCAGTTATATCACTTTGGTCTTTTTGACTTTTCCAACAGCAGTGAAGATTTGGTAGTATATAAGAGCACATTGTTTTTGTAAACTGATCTTTTGAGATTGAAATAGTAGGTTCAAAGATAGCGTAGCGTGACTACTACACTTTAAAGAAATGAAATTGGAATTGTGCACAACGATGCAGGTCTGACAAGTGCATTTACCTGTTCTTAACACAGGCTTTATACAGGAATTCATGCAAAGCCAAAACCCAAGTTCAAGTCAGGAGCTATTTGTGAATCAACTACGGCGTTGAATGTTGACCAGTCTAACACCTCAGTTCTCAATGTTGACCAGAAAAATGGTGCAAGTGGGGCTACTGCATTATCATTGCCATCCCCACTGGCCCAGTCTATCACAGCCACAAAAGGAGGGAATAACCAGGATCAGCAGTCTATATTTCCAGCAACTGAAACAGGAGTGAGTGGAACTGCCCTCGTAGGAACAGCAGGCCCTGCTCTTAAGAAGGAAGGCTTGACAAAAGTTCAGGCAGACAAGAAGAAAATGGATGCGAGAAAGAAAAGTTTGAAGAGATTATAAAAATGATAGGATAAACTAATTAAACGCCGTTTTTGGAGTATGCAGCTAAATTTATGTCAACGGCTTGGGAAATTGGTTGTTTTTTGGTGTAATGGATGCTTCAATTTGGAAAGGTGATGGAACAAATTTGCCTGCTCACGTCTCCTGCATCATGATCTTTAATGTTGGGGAAGGGGGGGCTGCAAATTTTAGGAATTACCGTATGCCTAGTTGCATCATTGCTCTTAAAACTTTCATTGTTCTGGGTTTCTGGCGACATTATCAGTAATCCTTGTTCAGTCTAGCTGAAATAAATTGAAACCAAAGAGTGGGTAGGGTAAAGGTTCTGTGACAAAGCTTAAATCTCAACAATAAAGAAGCCAATTGCTTAGCCATCACTAAGGCTATCTTGGTCTACATCAACAACCTTCTTGCAAGCCATAATATTTGGCACTACTACTACAGCCTAAGACTTGTCTTTGACAAATTACGGCTTCGTGGCAATCATCTACCAACGCTATAACAAAACACCATAGAAGGAAGTGGCCGTTCCAATCTTGCCGTCAACAACAACGAGATAAAGGCAACTCTTTCTTGGCTCAGAAGCGAGGTAATCCACTCTGTAGCGTTTCGTCCCTGGCTAAGTAGCAAGGTAACTCTTGGACATGGTACCTACTTCTTAGTTCACGCAAACTACACTTACTATTGACATACTGTGCATCGTTGGGGTAGCCCTTAGATGGCAAACCAATTGTATCGCTCGTCTCCTATACTTTCGACATTAAGATGGTTAAGAAAGCAATCCTTTAGATGATGGGCTTTTGCACTGTCTTGGTCACCTCATCTAGGCCTCACCAATCTTAGCTATATGAGAAGGTTTGTCACCTCTCTACACAGATTCAATGGCTCCCCATTGCCTGCAACAATATTCCAATCCTGGCAACACCTTCTCTATTCTTCTAGAAGTCAAAAACATTCTCGTGTAATACTCATCAATTGCCAAGATCTCAAAGGCACTCTTAAAGGATTATATATTGCACTGCCGAGATTCCTAGCAACAATCCTTCAACTACGTTGACGCTGCCAAGACTCACAACAAGCATAACCCAACACTTGATATTCCAGGGCAATGCATTCCATGTATCAAAGGCCACTACCAGGATCATCACTGGACATTGTTAGATCGTCCAGAATAATACCTTTAAATTTTGCAGTGTAAATTGTTAGATCAAAGTTTAGATTGGCAAACTTGTATTCATAATTTGTGTCAACAGGGGTACAATACATATGGTCCAATTAGAAAGCCAATCCTCTTTTACATGCTTCAAAGGGAAGCGAATAGGTGAAGCGGCGCCCCATTTCTCTGACAATCTCGTCTATCAAATCTCTGCAAATTTGATCCTGCAACGCAAAGCCTATTCTGCCAATCTCCCGCCTTTCACCCCATGCAATGTCCTTGCACACTTCATCCACGCTCTGTACCATGGCCTTGCTTCTCCACAGTGGCGACCCTGCATCATCCCGATGGCTTCTTGCATCGTCAATTGATTCCTTTGTGAATCTATCTAAGAAGCAGCAGGCGCCCGTGGTGTCCCCTTGTCCCGGCTTCGTCTTAAGTTGCTGCTTCTGATGATGTTGTAGCGCTCGTCCTGGAGCGCATATACATAACACATGCAGTGCATAGCTTTAGTAACAAGACAAGCCCACACATCTGTTTGCATGTGCTATGACAGTAACATATGCACCCCATGATGCAAAGGTTTCAAACTGAGATTGGTTTTGTCCAATCCTATCAAGGGGTGGCAAAATCTAATCGAAGTCAAAATTTCGGCTCAACTAACATCAAATTCAAACTGATCTGATTTAAATTGATTGAAATAAATTGAAAATCCGAACTCAAAATAACTTGAACTTGATAAAAATCGAACATGTGACAACTTGAAACTAAAAACCAATTCAATTTGATATGAACTTGAATTTATAATCTAAAACGACTTAAACTGTACTATAATGATAAATAAATAATAAATTATTTTTATTAAATGATAGTTTTAAATATTGAAAGAAATGATATTATTTATAATTTTTATATAAAAATAATGTATTTTTCAATCTTTTCGATGTTGAATATTTTAAATGGATCACAAAATTTATTTAAAATACATTAAATATGAATATAAAAAGATTGCGCTATTTTTATTATTTATGATAATTGATTATAAAATAATGATATTATTAATTTCACATTTGAATATTTTAATTCCAAAAAAAATAAAAATATTATGCCTATACTCTAAATGGTTCAAAATGATTCACCAATCCGAACCCCGAAAACGACCGTACGTCAACCCACATCCTTCTCTAATCTTATTGCATTTCCTATTTCGGGGCCCAACTCCCATACCCTGCAAAAGTGGGGATAATGGAAGGTAAGTAAAGCCACAAAGACGAAGGGGTCTGTTTCTTCTTTTATTTCTGCAGGCTCGCTTTTCTCTTTTCTTGTTATATCTTTTTGTTTATTCACTCGTATCAGGGGTTGAATCCTTAAAACAACAACAGGGGAGGGTTTCTTTCCTTACTTATCTTCTATATACTATACTAGTAGTATAATCTGGAAATGTTACTGTGGGGGGACATCAGAATATACAAGTAATTCTTACTGTGGAAATGTCAAGTCAAGTGATCTCATCGACTACAAACGATTAAAAAAATATTCAAGCTGCCAAGTTGAAGTTGCAGAGCATTTAAAGAAATGAGCACCTAAGCAGGCTAGCCCAAGGACATGAACAGATCACTCAGCAAAAATCTGTTGGATGCATGTGTATGAAGACGATAGAACAAGGAAGGAGATTGGTTGAAGAACAGTGTGAAGATTTTGTTATATTGAATTGTATTTGTAAGTATAAGTTCTTGGGGGGCAGATATAACAAAGAAGAGATTCTTTCATCTGTTTTAGTTCGTGCGTTTTTAACGCTTTTCCCTTTTCAAAGGAGAACATGAAAAAGAAAGAAAAACAGCTGTGGGTCATTTGGTCATGCGCTAGCGTGTATGATTGCTTATAGCAATAAAGAGGATGATTTTGTCTCCCACTAGCAAGTCATGATTGTAAATTCGGTATCCGAAACATAAGGGCAAATGGCTCACCTTACAAGGAAAGCAATAGGGAAGGTGAGGAAAAGGTGCTTCCTCTTCAATTGCAATGTACAATTAGTACCTTTAGTCTCTTGTCAAGGTTGTAACGGAGTTGGTAATGTCTCCCTACACAGATCGATAAGACTAATTTCCTAACCACCCACGGCTTTATTAGCTGCCTTGCAATTAAAAGAAACAACAATCTTTTTCATATGTACATAAATGAGTCCAATTAGGTAGGGTTAGACTAGCTAGGAACCAGCTTGACCACAGGTTTAAAGTTGATTAGATACAACTTTCCTAGGCTAAATGTTGACTTAAGATCCATCGTATTTACTCAAAGAGATCAGAAGATATCAGGGTTTATCAAGTACATTACCAAATTCCAACATATTTGGGCCTTAATTTATGTATGTATGTGTGCTAAAATGTAAATTCATTGACAAGGTATCCTATCTTATCGGTTTAATATACATAAAAATTCATTTGAAAATGCAAGAATGAACCCCTCATGCATGCATATGCAATACCATACTATCTACAATGAAAAGACAGAAAACTATAAATTCAATGTAACGAAAAAGGGAAAAGAATGAAGTGGAAGTTACCTATTGAAGAAGAAGAAAAGCAAAGCAAATGGAGCAGACTTACTCTCATTGTTGTGTTCAACGCTGACGCTTGTGCTGACAAGTTCAATGATCCTTTGAAGGGCCTTCAAGTCCTCATCACACTTCTCCAGAGCACCAAGCAACTTCCTTCTCCGGTCGGCTGTGGATTCTGGGGTCATAGGAAACTTATCTACTCCCATCAACCTCGCCACTAGCATATTAGGAGGAGTCTCAACGCAGTTTGACCGCCGTATCTCTGCCGCCAGCGTTGGACTCCTTGGAAGATTTGCAGCTTTTAGCGTTTGTTCAGGGGCTTTCGTTGCAGATTGTGGTGCCTCCTTTGCCTGCTTTCTCCCTGAAAATGAGAAGTAGTACGGAATAATGTACTCAATCGAGTTCTTCAATGCACGGAGCAATTAGTTGGGGAAAAATTATACTAGAACTAAATGTACACTTGGAATTCTCTGCAAAAAACTAGTGCCCAAAGCGATCAGCAGAAGGAACATACCAGTAGTAAGAAATCTTGAGCGATTATAGTGTTTGGAAAGAAGGTTGGAAATGGCGGACATGCAACCAATGGAGTTTTGCCCCCGGCTAGAAGATGATGATTGTCTTTTCATCTTTAAAACTGTGACACCTAAAGCAAGAGACAATGCTAACGGTAGTATAAATAAGAGAGAGAAGGTATCAAGTTCCAACTAATGTAAAAAAAGATAATATATAAATATAACCAATAGGTTTAGGAATATTTCAATACTAATCCGAAATTTTCAAAATGGATTGACGGATACTTGCTTCACAAACTTTAAGTGATTGGCTTTTAGATCTGCTCTTGAGTTGCTTCTAACTTAACTCTCAGAATTATCCACAAACTTGCCCTCTCCAAATCCTAGATATCCAAGGATTGGACTAGAGTTTACGAGAGAATAGAAATAAGGTTCTAACTCAACTTTTATTAGAAGTTAGATATATGCTCATGTGGATGTATTAATTAACAGATTTGAATCTACTTAATTGATTCATATTCCAACATCTACCATTAAGACACGGTGAGCATAAATGTATACTCCCTTTCAAAAAAACTCCCAATTGTCACAACCTATATAGGAAAGCGAGTGTGCGATTAGACGAAAAACAATCGGTTTTAAGGAATGTTATATCAGGTTACCACTAAACCAACATAGCATTACAACTGCACATATCTCATTTTGCATCACAAATTAATTATCCACATTAAAATCAAACATCTATGATTCCTATATATAACATATAATTGACATATGTTTGACTTCAATTCAAGGATGGATCTAGAAATTTTTAAAAAATTTAAAAAATTAATGGGTTTATTAATATCATTAACTACATAACACTCTAACATAAGTAATATAATTAACAGGAATTTGACACATTAGTGATATCATTGGACACCACTAATATCAACGTCCGTCCGCCCCTGCTTCAATCTAATGTATTTGGATTCATAGCTATGTCAAACACTTAATTCAACACAACTACCTAGACATTGAATCACAAAATATAGATGTGAAATCAATCAAGTTTCCCTTAGTCACCTGTGTCAATCCACTTAAATTTGGTTGTTTTCCTAGTCATGCTCCTATAAACCTGTATCAATCGTGGCTTTTAGGTACATGATAAAGTAGCAATATCCAACTGCCACTTCAAGGCATAGTTTTGAGTCACAAAGTGTACAAATGTAGATCTTAGATCTACATGATCTATCTACATTTAGCTCACATACTAATTAAGTAGAGATCCCTTAAACCATCCTTTTAATGGTCGAAATAATACCTATACTATATTTGATAGTATACATATAGAATACATAATTATTTTTTTGACTCACAAAAAACCAACGATTATTTATACATCTCTTCTAACACTAAAATGATCACATGTCTCATCATGCATGCCTTAAAGCAATCAAGCGGTCAATCTGTTGTGAGAGGATTGATTTGTTGACTCCATATTAGTGAAGCTTAATAGAGAATAAGGACAATTAATCGATTGAATTACTGTAGAGAGCTCAGCAAATCAAGCTGGCATGACATAGTGGATAAAAAAAAACATGTTAACACGACGAGCTGAAGAGAGGACAAGTATCAACTAACATGAAATGTTAATCGAGTACAAAGACAAAACAATCAAAACCCAGCGAAAGTGTATGGAGGCTAGGCTCATCTTAGTCGTCAATCAACTAAACTTGCTCAAAAGGTTTTTGAATTTTTTTTTAATTAGACAATTCATTGATCAAAAGAGATTTGAGAGTTCCCTGCAACTGTACAGATAAGAGCTCAACTTTTGGTTGTTATCTCAAGGGCATCACCAGCATAAGACCAACAAAAGGGCAACCCCACATCAAATACAAAACAGTTGATACATGGAAGCAAAAGGTAGGGATTAACACAAGAAGGTCACCGAAAACTAACCAATTTACAGGGTTGACATCTACACAAAAAAGAAATTCACCAACTCAAAAATTCCTCTAATTACAATAAAAACAAAGCTTGGCATCAGAGAAAAGTTCCCCCATAAACATCAGATCGAGCTTCACATGGTAGCAGAGTCAGAATTAATAAAATCCAAACAGCAGCATTTAAAGCCAAAACACCACACGAAATCGACACAACGACACTAGCAACATCTTACCATCTCAATACCAAAGACCACCCCAAACAAGAAAACAATACTAATGGCCAAAATCAAATCTAGCCATTGGAAAGCAGACCATTTCAATTGACTAATGGAAAATGATGATTAACTAAAAAAAGAAAGAGATTCTGAATTTAAAATAGTTAGTTGACTAATGATCAAAGATAATTAGCTAATTTATTTGTCAGATAGCCTATCATGTCATGTCAATGTGAACTTGTTGTCAAAATATTTGCACCTATAACATGCATATTCCCTTCAAATGATTGGATTTTGAAATCCTGTTATACTTTTAGATATAGTATTAACATAGCCAAATTAGTCTTTTAAACGTATTTAAATGGTTGAGTATAGCCTCAATTAGGAAGAGGTAATACTCAATATGGAAAACATTTAAAAAACAGGAGGTGTGATAGGAAGCACTCAAAAAAGGGAGGTGCTTGAAATAACCTTATCAAGTTAACTTTGATAGTTCACTTGTATGTCCTACAAGCCAATCGATTGATTGTACAGAGATATATCTAGTATTTGAGTATTTATTTTTATAAGTCATTCTTTATATTCAAAATGATTGCATATTCTGATTAAATGAAATAAAATCCATGGAATATTATATACTTTGCAAGAGGTATTATAAGAGGTTATAATTATTAAAACCTTGTTATATTAAGGCAATATTCTTAAAATAGTTCCTAGTCGAACTTTTATCAAGAAAAATAGGTTCTGATAAAACATATAGAGTGACACATGGTTATGTTCTTCACTTATGAAGTGGGCAATAGATCTCATAGATTGAAGCATGGGGATACTTGATTTAACATGTGGGTGGTTGTTATAGAACAAGTTCATTGAAGATGCCTCTCTATGAGAATTTCATTTGGTGTTTTACTCAAGTGCTTATAGAAAAATTCTCATATGACAATTGTGTGAGTGATCCGTAGGCTTGAGGTCATTAGGTTACCTTATGCATGAAATGCTTTTCTTTGATGCTATCCAAAGTGGTCCTAACTAAAGACGCTCTAAAAGAGATGGATAGTAGTATGAAACATAAAGTTAAGTTAATGATTGATAAAAAATTCATCTATTGGGATTTTAAAATTCGAATATCTCATATCTTAAATGGTCCTAACTTGTAGATTCAGCAATATTAATGATATAAGTGTTATAGTTTTAATGGGAGTGTGATAACTCTTCGTTATTTGAAACTTTCGTAATTTTGAGGGAGCATTATCTCCTTTATGGGAGTATTTTCGCTTATAAAAGGAAAACTGTATACGTCCCCAATCTAGGCAATTTTAGAAAAATAAACACCTTGTTACCATTATTAGAAATTGCTATTGGGTTGGAAGAACCCATAAAAGGAAAAACTTGAAGAACCAATGAAGGAAAATCTTGGAACTTAGAAAAGAAAAGCTTGATCTTTGCTATTGTTGGAAGATAATGTCATGATCCTAATGAGTATTTGGTAGGTTTATCTATCATGACTATTCTTGTCTAGAATTCTTGCTTATAATGGTGGAAAGTTCCAATATTGACAAAAAAGTCAAATATTAGCTATCAAATCCTTTCTGCCAACTAACAAAATATTCTACTATTGTTAAAGCTGGTTGATATGTACCAATACTTATTTGTTTTTGCTTCCGTTGTGCTTTATTATTTTTATATGAGTACATATATATATGTCTATGTGTGTGTGTGTGTGAATTTTAACATGTGGTATCAAACTAAGAATAATCTCTGCCTAGCATATTTAATGTGTCATTCTAATTACATTTTTGCTTTTTTTTGTATATTTCTAAAATATGTTTTAGAAAATTATTTAGAGAAATAATGAATTGGATGCATTTTTAATATTATTTTGTCAAGTTTCAAAATTGTTTGAATCTTATATGACATATGCCCATGAGTGTTTGGTTTGTTGACACATGTATATTTTTATTTGTATGCTTGAGCATTATATTGCTATTTCATCAACTTACAGCCTACCTCATACGTGAACCATTTATGTTATTAGGCTCAATGTATTAAAGATTTTGGGACTTGTTTGATTAAAGAGTTTGTGTCAGAATAAACAATATTGAGCTTAGCCTTTTATGTTACTTGTCTAGGCCAAAATAAACAATACTGGGATTAGTCTTTTCATACTATTATTCTAGGCCAGAATAAATAATGTTGGAGTTAGTTTATTTATGTTATTATAGTTTGGGTCAAAATGAACAATATTGAGCTTAGGTTTTTTATACTATTAGTCTAGGCCAAAACAAGCAATATAGTTCTTAATATATTTATGTTATTTGTCTAGGCCAGAATAAACAATATTGGGCATAGTTTATTTATGTTATTTATCTAGGCTTGTTGACTGTTAAGTTGAATGGGTTATAATGTGGCCAAAATTTTGGACCAATAAAATTAGAAAAGATAAATTCATTTAAATGAAACTGATTTTGGATCTAATTGTGTTTTCTAAATCTAATTAGTTTGACTATTCCGATCATGGAAGGAGTTTATTTAATCCAAATTAAGCTCATTTAATTTTTGATCAAGGCATTATCTATATAATAAATTAATTAATATCTAATTTATGTATGTCTTGATTATTATAATGATGTCATTTAATAGTATATATTTGAATAATTGAGATTAGCCATAGCATCTTAATTATGATAAGATATACATTAAGTAAATTCACAATATTTTATCTTGATCACATCAAGTTTAAATGACATCAATTTTCTAATTAGACATGTTAGTATAATTATTTTTACCCTATAAGGAAACTATTATATTTTCATGGTTAATTCAGAGGAAATAGAAATTATTTTTATTTCCTTAATTACTCCACAGATATTAGGAAATATTAATAATTTTTAGTTTCATCATAAAAGTTATGAATCATTATGTGTTAGATTCTTTGCCTATAAGTAGATTTTGATGATATGTCGATTATGTATAATTTTTATTTATCTTACATTGGTAAGTTTATCTTTAAGTTTGATGCTTTGTGCCTCATATATTATTAAGTAAGCATGTTATTTATTTATTTGCAATTGATCAGACATTGATGATTTCTAATGA